AAAAAAAAAAGAAAAGAATAGCAAATGCTATATTCTTTTTTTTTGCAGCCAGGTAGCATCAAACGGGAAGCGCTGCCTCCATAAATAACACCACCACTACAAATCCGGGTCTCCAGCGACATGTTGGGGCTTTCTCAACAAAGTGCTGCTATAATTGGAATAAAAATCCTTAAGTGAACGTGATTTAATATCAGAGATACCGAACACTCCGGTCAAAACCAAACCTGATTTTTTTTTGACTCCTTCTGTAGGCAAAATCCGATTTTTGTTTTCTTTCATTGTTGCAGTCTGTTTCCATGACGGTGTGTTAAATACTTATTAATTTCTCAGCCAAAGCCCTACCGTTCAGATTTATGATGGCTGGTGGTTTATGAACTATCCGCTGCACAATAATATTTTGTAAATCTACATTCCACAAACATCACTTTGCTTGAAGTAAAGCTTCACACTCAGCTTGGCTGGGTGCTCAACAATACCCTCATTTTTAATCAGTCACCTGTTTCTCATTTTAAGTTTATCACACTTGAAAAAATACTATAATTTCTAGAGTTGTAAAGAAACCTACAAACTTTGGTCTCAGAAATTTCATTTCGAAGGCATTAACTCATTTTGAAAGTCCCTTGGCTATTTAAGGTGTAGAGTTTCCATTAACAGGATAAACTCCGTGGAGTATGGAGCGTAATGTTCTTATGGAAAACAGTCCCTTCCCCTAATTATTTAGTCTAGTAGGGAATGAAAATAATTAAGTCTCAAAATTCCCTTTAGAGTGGAGGGGGGGGGGAATATGGTCGGAAAATTAGCTTTTTTTCCACCCAGCTACCAAAGGGAGCTGAGCCACGGTGGGCACAATCCTTCGCTGGAAGGTGGGAGCGCAGGGCTGCAGCAGCCGCGGGCAGGATCTGGCTCAGGGATCAGGGATGCCCTTTGGAAACTGTCGCAGCTACAGCCACCCTGAATTATCTTTTCCTTCCCGGTGCCACCGCTGAGGCTTAAATTTCAGGCTTTTGTTCACAACTAAAATGAAATTATAACAAAAAGGCACTGGCTGGCTGTGAGCGGCTGCCGGGGCAGAGGATGCCCGTATCCAGCACTCAGTTAATAAGGGGTGCAGATTAAAAAGTAGGCACCCCACTAACTGCCTCTTCTTGCACTCCCTGCACCCAGATCGGAGGGCACAGATCAATCACCCGGCTTCTCCCGCGGGAACGTGCCCGGGGCCGTGCCCTGGGTGCGGAGGTCTTGCCAACCCTGCCAGCAGCTTCAACCAGCGACAAGGGGATGCTTAAAATTAAACAAAGTAATGGTGTTTTTAAAATTTAAAGGGAAAAAAAACCCAAAACTTGATCTTCTGTGTAGAACTAATGCTGGGCAAAAAGCAGCCGCGGGGCCAACCTGGCAGAACTGGGATGGGGCACAGAAACTGGGAAAAAACCTACGGCGAACGGTCACTTGAGTTTCCTTACGCAGGCGAAGCGCTGATGGCAA